GCCCAGGTCCTTCGTGAACGTCTTGGCCTTGGCTGGGGTGCCGTTCTGCTGCAACCTCTTAGCCACGCTCTTGACCATGTCCCTGCACGAGCCAACGATGACTGTCTTGTCTGAGATCTTGAGCCTCTGTTGATGAAGTCCTTGGGCGAGTTCGCAAGCCACTCTGACCATCTTATCTGGGGTGTCCTGTGAAGTGCCTTCCTCTCGAGCCACAGTGTCGTCGACGAAAGTCCAGAGCCCCGCTGTGGGCGATATGATGTGTGCTCGCTGTAGGACTGGGTGGAGAAACACCTTCGCGAGGCTGACTCCTCTGGGCGACCCCGCAACTATCGATCTGGATACCCATATAGCCTCACACATCGCCGACTTGTCTTTGAGAAACCGTGCCGCCGCGAAGATGAGTACTTCCATTTCCACTACGACTGCTGGGTAGCCGATGCCCCTCGCGATGCGCATCAGCAGCACCAGGCTGACGCTGTCGTAGAACTTCTCGATGTCCCCCAGGAGGGCGAGGCTGGAGATGCCCAGCTCGTACCCCGCCTCGTCCAGGCAGGCGCGGATCAGACCAGCCCTCAACGCCGGGCTGCCTTTGAGGGCCGTGTCCCAATGCGCGCTCAGTGCCTCACTCCATTCACTGCACGGTGACGCCCTCGTCCTGCTCCATAGTTTGACTGGTAGGGGTAGCATCCCCAACGCCCTCTCTCCGCCTGCTGGTTTAGGGGCCACGGCCCCGAGTGTCGCCGTCCACTGCCTCGGCCACGTGCCCGTCTGCTCGCACATGTTGATGAGGTCGACCAGCTTCTGGCGTGCACCCTGCGGGGCCCTCTTGATATCGTGCAACTTGAGACCGTCCACGCCGCCTGCTTTGTTGGGGTTCGTGGCCTGCATGGCCGTGTCGAACTCTTCTATTGTGATAGGATCCAAATCTTCATCTCTGGCCTGTCTGTGCATGACCTGCAGCTCAGCCGCGATGTCCTCTATGGTGTCCACTGCGTCCGTCCAGATCTTAAACCATCTGTCCCTCTTCGTGTGCATGAGGATCTCTGGATCCGCCGAGCTAGCGTCCTGGTGATACTGCTCGTAGGTCGGCTGCACTGGATCTTTGACGTGCTTATGCAGGGTGCCTGGCTTCTCCGCCCACATCTTCTTTGCCCACATGGTGAACTGCTGCCGCTGAGTGGAGATGCCCCTGGAGACCGCAATTGCCATGTGCTTTTCGATCTCATCCTTTAACATCTCAAGCTCGTCCAGCGTGTGTGTCTTGACCTCCTGCACGCCTAGCATGCGCTCATCAGCTTCATCTTGATCAAAATTTGTCCCAAAGATCTGATCCAAACCCATCCTCCTGAGCTGCTGGTAGGTAGCAGACAACTCCTTCTCGCATTTCCTCTGTTGCATGACGTCTGAGCCGTTGAACCGTAGTGACGCATATCTGGTAATCAAGACACCCATTATCGACCACAACTCTGCTGCTTGATACTTCATGTGCGTGCGACCTGGTGTGGCCTTCGATCTTTGCCATCTGATTGCAAAACCACCTCCTCTGCCTCGGTGCGCATCAGCCTGCGCTGCGTCCATCTTGTCTACTCCGATGATCGCCTCCTCCAGAGTGGTGACCCAGATCGCATACTCGCCTGTGATCGCCTGCTCCATGAGCTTCTGATGCTCTCCTCGGATGAGGAGGTTGGCCTCCAACTCGTGCATCTGCTTGGACATCGCTGGGCCGATGGCGATGCGGCTGGCCTGCTCCCACTGGCCCTCGTCTATCGCGTACTGCACCGTCTGCTGCGTGTTGGTCTGTGGGGGCTCGAGCACGTTGAACTCCTCGCGCAATTCATCAGGGAGTTCTGCCAGTCTCTTCTGTTGTGCTGCCTCCTTCTTCTTACTGCGCTTGCTCTCTGGGTCGGGGGCCTTCTTTGGTGGGAGCACCAGAGGCAACGGCTTGGGGAGATCCAAATGCCTGTGCCACCAAGCCTCCGAGCGCCCTGGTAATTTGAGCAGGAGCCCCGTATGTGTCCTCCAAGGTACTTTCTCGTGACCGTCGATGGTGATGCCGTCTGCAATATCTTCTCGAGCCATGGCGAAATCTATGAGACTGCCCTTGCCCTTGTCACAGGTGATCTGAATCTTCGGAACGACCACCTTGCCTCCCAGGCGCGTGGGGGGGCCCGACTACTCGACCAGGGATGGGGCCATATTCCAATCTGCCATGATAATCCAAGGGTCCGTGATGCTCCCTATGACCGTCGAGAGCGCCTTGATCTTTTCAAAGTTGCTGCCCTGCATGCCCTCCTTGGGAAGAAGGTAGAGGGAGAATAGAACGACATTGCCTCCGCTGAGGTGGATAGTCATGGCCGTGAACCCTCTGAATAAGTCCTGTCGTCCTTGAGCCTTGAGGGTCTCCCTCATCACATCGAACGTTGTGGTCGCCAAGTGCGCCTTGGCGATGAGCAGCTCGCCTCCGCTGTTGCCCTCCTTCGAGCGTCGCGTCGGGGTAGCTGCCGTGACTGCTGCTTTCCATCCATATTTGATCAGGTCTTTCTTCAGCTTCGTAATGCCTGAATGCGGCACGTGGGACTCCGTGAAGGCGAATATCTGAGCTAGTTCCTGGTTCTCGTTGAGGAACTTCTGACATTTCTCGCCCCATTGTGTAATATTGCTGAAGAATATGCTGGTGACCTTCGCAGGCTTGCCTGTCTCACACGTTTGATTGCGAGCTCCCTCACGCTGAGAGCGACGCCAGTTCTGACAAGCTGCGACCGCATCTGGCGCGGGCGAGGAGGTCCGATCCCCGAGCCAGGTGGGCGAAGTCCCAGGGAGTCCAGGGGTGGCAGGCCACTCGGGGGACGGCGGTGCTGGATGCCTGTCCAGCGCTGCAGGCGACTGCCATGGTGGGCTAAATACCAGCCCGACCAGAAGAAATGCCCGTAGCGCCGCTCGTAGCTGCCGTACCCACCGATGGTGAAGTGGTCGCCCTCTGAGATGCGGCCCTGGCTCGCTCCTTGTTCTCCTCGATGAGCTTGGCGATCGCCTCTGCCTTACGCTTTTCTGCTTCTGGATCGGTGGCTTGTTGTTGCTGTGGCGGTGCCTCAGGAGCGGCCTCTTGAGCGGGTGGTGAAACTTGCGCATGAGCTTGCCCGTCCTCGTTGATCCTGCGCTTCTTTGCCGCATGATCGGCCTTGATCTTCTTCGCGCTCTCGACCATGGTGAGCAGGGCCTCCTGCTGCGTCTTGGCGCGGTCCAAGAGCTCCTGCAAGGCCTTCGCGTCCTCCCTGAACTTCGCAAGCTGGTCCTTCTGAGTCTGCTCCAGGTCCTCCTCATCCTCGAAGAGGCTCTCGTCCACCTGGAAGCCCGCCTGCTCGGGCTTGGTCGCCGTGCCCTCCGCCACCGAGTGCATGTTGTATTCTTCCAGCGCCTTAGAATGTTCCTGCTGTGCCTCGTAGACCTCGGCCGCGGCCTGCGCCATCTGCTCCGCCAGCTTGGCCGGCGCCTTCTCAGCGTCCAGGTGGCGCTTGGTGACGCCTTCGAGCTTGGCCTTGGCGGAGTTGACCTTGCCGATCGCCTGCTTGAGTGCCGCTGACTTGGGTAACTCCTTCTTGGGCGGGGAACACTTCTGGGAGATGGTAGACTGCAGGTGCGCCAGCTGCTCCTGCATGCTCTGGTCGGGCCCAAGCTTTGAGACAGCATGGGCCAGCTGCCGGCACACCACTTCCGCGTAGGTGCCCTTGGTGAGTTGGTCTCCCCATGGCGGCTTGCGCGATGCTGGGGTAGTGTCCGCCCATAGTGTGACAATCGAGTCGCATTTGGCGCAGTAGCCTCCATTGCGCTTGATCTTCCAGTCGTAAGCCCAATTGTCGCAGCTCTTACAGATAGACCAAGCCCGCTTCTTGGACGGCGGCCCCATCGCACACGCGTGAAACCTGCTGCCGTCTGGGAGTGGGTCGAGTCGCTCCTCCAGGAGCTCACAAAGTTGAAAGCTGTCGGGCGGAAGCGCCCTGGCACTGGCCGCGGACTAGCGGTATCCACGCGTTCCCCTGTGGAACAAGGCATCTTGAGCCAAAATGGCTACGGAGGAGGAGGAGGAGGAGAAGGGAAGGCGAGGAGGAGGAGGAGGAGGCGAGGAGGAGGAGGAGGAGGAGGAGGAGGAGGAGGAGGAGAGGAGGCGGAGGAGGAGGAGGCGGAGGAGGAGGAAGAGTTGGAGGAGGAGGAGGAGAAGGAGGAGGAGGAGGAGGAGGAGGAGGAGGAGGAGGAGGGGGGGGGGGGGGGCGAGGGGAGGATGAGGAGGATAAGGAGGTGGGGAGGAGGAGAAGATGGAGGAGGAGGAGGAGGAGGAACATGAGGGGGAGGAGGAGGCGGAGCATAAGGAGGAGGAGGAGGAGGAGGACAAGGACAAAGAGGAGGATGAGGAGGACAAAGAGGAGGAGGAGAAGAGTGAGGAGAAGGAGGGGGATGATGATGCTGATGATGATGCTGATGCTGATGATGCTGACGCTGATGCCGATGCTGAGGATGAGGATGATGATGATGCTGATGCTGGTGCTGCTGCTGATGATGATGTTGATGATGGTGATGGTGATGGTGCTGATGCTGATGATGCTGATGATGATGATGGTGGTGATGATGCTGCTGATGATGGTGATGATGATGCTGGTGATGATTGCACTACTTGTAGATTTGGGTCTCGAGGTTTTGTGAGGTGCCACTTGCCCGTAACAATTACGGCTCAAGTCGCGCTGCTTTGAGGTGCCCGCCCTCGATGCATCCGAGCGTCGCCTGGCTCGCCTCCAGCTCAGTCTCCATCGCTGGCGAGCCCAGCTGCCGCCGCGCCATTGGCTCGGCTGCCTATTCTTGCTTGACGGGCGTCGACCCCACTCAGTTCTTCACGTCGGCCGCATTCGGCCTGGGCGTGTTCACTGGAGTTGCGAGCGTGTATTTCGTGAAGGTCGTTTCGCGGTGCGCGCGTTGCAGAGTGCGGGTGGCGTCTGGAGAACATCGATTGGATGCTCGGCTGGATGGCGGCGATCACTCTCGAGGCAGGGCGGAAGGTCAGCCTGTTTTACCAGCCAAACCCGCTCCCGGCGCCACCGCCCAAGTGGCACGAGCGGGTCCTCCTCGAGCCTGGCTCGGAGACGGCGATGCAGAAGTGCACGGGCGAGTCCCTGTGCAATGGGGCCATGGTCTGGTGGGTGCTCACCCCGGACGGGGACGTGTATCCGGAGGAGCTGGCGGCGCCGCCGCTGGAGGGTATCGCGTACTACGACGACGCGGAGGTGCCCCATCTTCAGCTGCAAGTACGTCCGCTTCCTCCTCCAGTGGCGGCCAACGCCCACGGCTTCCGTGCAGACCGCTCAGCTGGACCTCCTACCCCGCTATTGGTGATGAGGGCGATCTCTGACGCGAGGGTTGAACAGCATGCGCTTGACCCTGAGTCAGGTGCCGTTCGCGAAGGTCCCCCTCCAGCGCCAGCAGCTGGACGTGTCATCTGGGTGATTGGCTCTTCGGCCGACGGCGGCCCAGAGGCGGAGAAGGAATGCATTCACATCCCAGGCGACATCACGATCTGTTTGGGCGCTTACTGGCTGGTCAAGCGAGGAGCCAAGTGTCTGATACTGCAGGGGGTGTTGCGGCAGGACACGGGCATGATCAAGCTGCTCCGGGATCAGGAGACCGACGCGAGAGTCATCCCTGTGAAGTGGAGGTCGGCTCAACAGCGCGGCCGCAACTTCCGCGAGGCCGTCTCGCTCCAGGAGTTCCACGACTTTGGCGACTCGCCGCTGCAAGGTGACGTGAGCCTCCCGTGGCTGCTCACCGAAGTGGCCCAGTCCTCCGAGGGGATGGTGACGCGCCACCACACCTGGCTATCGGCTAGCGGCATCCCGAGCGGCGACCGCAGCATCCACGAGCACTTCGTGATCTCCAGGGTCTTCGACCTCGCGATCGAGCTGGACCAGTTGAACACGATGACTTTGACCTCTTTCGAGCTGCTCGGGCGGCGCCTGCAGCTCATCGAGCAGGCCCACGTGTACAACCCCAGCAACCCCGACTACAGCAATTCGGACGACTTCATGGGCTGGGGCGTTCAGCGTGGTGCCGCCCTGGTGGCGCCGTCTATTAAGAAGCGGGCCGCCGACGCAGCTCGAGATCGGGCAGCGGTCCTGAAGGAGGGTCGCAAGCTCGAGGAGGAGATCCGCCTCCGGAAGCCGAAAGGTCGTGGCCGTGGTGGTTAGGGCGGCGGGGAGGGAGACGGGGGCGCTGGCGGCTCCGGCGCAGGGGGGCCATGACCAGCTCGCAGGACCCAGTCGCTCCCTCTGGGACTCCGGCGGCTGGGTTCAAGTATGAGAAGGGGTCCCGCCTACCTGTGCAAGTTCCCCGTGACCTCTTCCCTCTTCCTGAGCTCGAGGTCGAACATCTTCAAGATCACAGCGTGAGTCGCTCGGTGCAGCGACGAGTTTTGAAGCGGAGTGCTGTGGATGCCGAGGTCAATCGCACGATCAAGGCCCTCAATGCTCTCGATGGCCATCTGACGCCGTCATCTTCCCCGCCCTCGCTGTGTCAGCGGGAGGCCATTCAATTCATTCGTTCAGTGCATGACGCAGCCGAGCCGCCGCAAGGTGACTACGGCTCCGAGGGAGCCGTGCGCGCGCTCCTCGGGACAGACTCCGCGCACGGTGGCGAGTCGACCTTGGTGCAGTCCTACGACCGGAACCTTCTCAGCATCCCCCACGTGGGGGCGGAGCCCGTCCCTGTTGAGGAGATGCTGCCGCCGAAGGTTCGCTGTTGTCTCGAGGACCTGAACAACATTCTGCTCGATGATCAAGAGCGGGGCGCCGTGTGTGAAAGGGCGGATCCCATCAAACTCTACATGGATCCGAAGCTTCGCTACTCCAAGAAGACCTATTTTCAGTTTGTCCGAGACTGTCATTCGGCAGGCCTTATCCGCTGGGCGCCTTTGGTACGTGGACGAGTCACGGTCTTCTGTGTGGCCAAGAAGACGGGCAAGCAGAGGCTCGTGGTGGACTGCCGCGCCACCGACAGGCGCTTCCGGCGGTGCCCTTATTTGCCTATGGGTACCGGGTCGAGCTGGGGAGAGATTCTCCTGGAGGACGACGCCGACCTCTGGGTGAGCCTGTCAGACATCAAGGACTACTTCTACGCCTGCGGCATCGACGATGACCTCTCCAGCTACTTTTGCCTCGACGACGTCCCAGGTTGGCTCGTCTCCGAGCTGGAGGGCAACGACAGCCGCTTTAGCCATTTCTACGGGCGCGACGCCGTTGCGCCCGCCTTCCGAGTGCTTCCCATGGGGTTCAGCTGGAGCTTCTATCTGGCGCAGATCGTCCACTCCTCCGTCGTCAAGGGGGTGCTTCCGGACACCGCCGGACTGGTACTACAGGATCGCCGGCCTGGCCCGACGATCGGCTCCCGCGGCCTCGTGTCGTTGCCTTACTGCGACAACCATGCCACCGGGGCGGGCTCCCCGGAGCTTGCCGACGGCGCTCGCATCGCAGTGGCTCGCCAGCTCACGGCCGACGGCTTCGCAGTGCACGAGGAGGAGGACGCCTCCCTCTGGGCCGAGAGCCTCGGCTTCGCCATCGACGGCTTGACTGGCGAGGTGGGGCCCACCGCCAAGAGGGCCACCCGCCTGGCCGCCGCGGGCCGCTGGCTTGCGCGCCGCCCGAGGATCACAGGCGTGATGCTTGAGCGCTTCCTGGGGCATCGCACTTTCCAGCTCATGGGCGAGCGCTCGCTGCTGAGTATCTTTGGCTCGTGCTATCGCTTTGTCAGGGTGCGTTATAAGCAGAAGGTCCGCTTGTGGCAGTCAGCCGCGCGGGAGTGTGAGTGGCTGTCAGCTCTAGTCCGTTTTGCTCGTACCAACCTGCGTCGGCCGTGGAGTCCCACGGCCCACATGTTCGACTCGTCGGAGACAGGCCTTGGGATCGTCCAGGGCGTTTTCGACGAGAAGCTCATCGCCGGCACTGGCCAGTACAATGAGCGGTGGCGTTTCAAGCAGCCTCATGCGCTCGCGAGGGGCGTGCGTGCGGGAGCTCTCTGGCACTTCCGAGATGTGATCGAAAATGTTGAAACAGTACTCCCTGTCGCACCGCCGCCCCCTCGTCCCTGGAAGAGAAGGCGCGGGTTCCCGGAGGTCCCCACAAAGATGCTCGAGAAGGACTCCTGGCACACCATCCTGTCAAAGCCCTGGTTTCGGGACGAGCACATCACCCTGCTGGAGGCCCGTACTGGGAGATTGGTTTGCAAGTCTCTTGGGAGGTCTGTTGGGAACCGCAACAAGAAGCACCTCATCCTCGGGGACTCCATGGGCTCCATCTTGGCCTTCTCCAAGGGGCGCAGTGGGGACTATCGTATGCTGGGTTGTTGTAGAAGTGTTGCGGCTTACACGGTCGCCCTCAATTGCAAGTTCAAATGGCGCTGGGTCGTGTCTGAAGTTAATCATGCTGATGCGCCTTCTCGGATGTTCGAACCCTCAGCCCCGCAGCGGGCACACCACGGACGTAAATCTTTCCCTTCATCTTCTTCTACCTGTAACCTCTTGGCTCACAGTGGGGAGTTTCCCACGATCGATGCTCCGAGCACCGACTCGGACGCCAGTTCCAACGAAGGCGACGCCAGTTCATGTGCTGAGGCCCGCGGGACCCGCGGCCAACCGCAGGCGACTCCCAGCGCCGCCGGAGGGCGTGTTTTCCGTCGTTACAGTATCGACGAGCTCATCGAGATCGGCCGCGCCTCCGGTGGCAAGCCTGCTTCAGCCGCCGAGGGACCACCCTTCGGCGCAGCGGAGTCGCCGTCTGCGGGAGGACCGTGCCAAGGCTCGAAGGGCGAGGCACGCTGTCCCAGCGGGGGGTGTTATTCCCGGGCCGCTCCTGCTCAAGAGGGGCCCTCACCAGCTCAGTATCCTGGAGCAGGCGTCGGTGCAGCCCCAGCAGGCGGCCACGCACAGGGCGACCTACGCCGAGTTCGCCAAGTGGGCCGCGAACGAGGGCATCCCACTGCACTCGGACGAGGACGTGGACGCGGCGGCGGTCGACTACCTGGACGCGATCTACCTGCAGGGCTACGAGGCGTCATCGGGGGACAAGCTCCTCGGGGCCCTCAAGTTCATGAGGAGCGGAGGCCCTCGCCCTCTGGCCCTGCCGCTGACGCGGATGAGGAGGGCGCTGAGGGGCTTCCGCAAGGCCGCCCCCGGCGCCTCTCGCTTTGGGTTGCCTTGGGAATGGACGGCCGCCATTGCGGGGACCTTGCTGGCCACGAAGCGGCGGGATGCGGCCCTCTGCTTGCTGGCGGCCCACGATGCGTATTCCCGACCTGGGGAGATTACGGACCTGCAGGTTGGGGATGTAGTGCTGCCTGCGCCCCGCCTCCGGGGCTACCACCGCCTCTGCCTTGTCATGCGGCCGGAGGAGAGGGGGCAGCCGCGCAAGACGGGGAGCTTCGACGACGCTGTCTCGGTCGAGGACCTGGACGCGCATATCTCGTCCCACCTGGTGCAGTTGGCGAGGGGGCGGGACCCGAGCGAGAAGCTGTTCCGCCTGTCGATCAGCCAGTACAAGGACGCATTCGAGGACGCCGCCGACCTCGTCGGACTTGCCGCCGAGCAGCTCTGCACTTACCAGGTGAGGCACGGAGGTGCCTCGAGGGATGCCATGCTGAAGAGGCGCGACCTCTCCGAGATCCAGAAGCGCGGGGGCTCGAAGACGTTCAACTCCGTCAGACGCTACGAAAAGTTTGGGAAGGTGCAGCAGGCGATCAACCGCACGCCGTCGGACACCCTGACCTACAGCCGTCTCGCCGTGCAGTACCTCGACGAGTGGCTCCATGGGCGTTCTATGCATCTCAACCGACCTCCTCGGACGATAGGCCGTCGCCTAGTCGGAAAGCGGCGGAGGTCTTCGCAGGTTCCGGGAGGCTAGCCAAGGCGCTCGCTCGTCGGGGTATTCCGTGTGAAGGTTGGGACATACTGGACGGACCGTCGTGTGACCTCACACTCTCAGGCGCCCAGAACAGACTGATAAGGGGCATCCGCCGGCGTAGGTACTGCCATCTTCACTTTGCGCTGCCCTGTCAGACCCTCTCGCGTGCACGGCGTCCCGGAGGCTCTGGACCTCCTCCTCTCAGGTCAAACGATTTTCCTTGGGGCTACCCGGACCTGGAGGGCACGGGCCTCAGCAAAGCAGCTGCCGCAAATAAGCTCATTGCGTTTGTAATCAAAGCCTGTCGGCTAGCTGCGAAAAACGGTATCACAGTTACGATCGAGAATCCTCTCACGTCAATTTTGTGGGTGATTCCCGAAATCATACAGTTGCACTTACACTTGACTTCTGTATGTTCGGAGAACGCTGGCGAAAAGCCACAAAATTTGTTGGCGCTGTCCCTGGCCTCAGCTCGCTGACAAGAAAATGTACTACGTCGCTTTGTTCTAGAACTAAGTTGCCACACTGGGCGTTGGAGGGCAAAGACCCCACAGGAGTCTTTTGGACAAAGCGCGCAGAACCCTACCCTCCCGCCCTCTGCTCACTGCTGGCCAAGACAATTGCCAGAGCACATCAGGTGGGATAGGGCAGTCGCACTGTGCTCACTCTCGTTGCAGCAGGCTGCCCAGGCTCGTGGCAGCTCAGTGCACTCAGTTGGTCAGGTAATCCTTTCTAAGCTTTGGCACCGGTGAAAAAACATCATCGACCTTGCACTACTTTTAGATTTGGGTCTCGAGGTTTTGTGAGGTGCCACTTGCCCGTAACAATTACGGCTCAAGTCACGCTGCTTCCCCCTCCTCCCCTCCGCCTCCTCTTCACCTTTTTCAAAGGGCAGTCGCACTGTGCTCACTCTCGTTGCAGCAGGCTGCCCGGGCTCGTGGCAGCTCAGTGCACTCAGTTGGTCAGGTAATCCTTTCTAAGCTCTGGCACCGGTGAAAAACATCATCGACCCGATCATGCTGACGATGATGATGCTGATCATATTGATGATGATGCTGATAATACTGCTTCTGATGATGCTGCTGATCATGATGATGATGATGCTGATGCTGCTGCTGCTGCTGCTCATGATGATGATGCTGATGATGATGATGCTGATGTTGATGCTGATGATGAGGGTGATGATGCTGCTGATGATGATGCTGCTGATGATGATGATGCTGCTGATGCTGATGCTGATGATGATGATGAGGAGGAGCATGACGATGATGATGATGCTGATGCTGATGCTGCTGCTGCTGATGATG